GTGTAAATATTTCATTCAAAATGATCTGCTACCAGAAATTTTAGCCAAATATTTGCTAACTGTAGGTAGTAACTAAGTGATTGTAACCTATCCACCGCTGCCCACTGGATGGGGGGCGGTGTGCAGGACAAACATATAATTTTTGACACTAGATCTCCACAAATGTCAGTTGCTTAATTTAGAACCTGTACTTGAGGTCGATCTCGAACCCAATGTTGATGTGACGACTTATATTGAATTTTGTAACTAGCTCATCAAGATTGTAACTTGCTTAGCTAAATGAATTGTGGGGTTCAGTCCCTGAGCCCATTATGTGCCTCTGTAACCCTTTCCACTACCGCCCACAAAATGGGTATGGGTGCATAATAAATGAACTAAACTAACTATTGTTATTAATTATTCTAGTTCATTTTTTACATTCCTAGTTCCCATTAAGTTTTTATTACTTAAATTACAATTAGGTTTATATTACTTAAGAATTTTTATTCTACTTTTTCTTTGTTTTCTATTTTGTAATTTGCCATTCTTGCCTTGTTTTCCAACAACCAGCCTTTTTATGCAGACAAGTATAGACCCAGAACTAAACCTCTTATCCACTATCTATGACAATCATCACTTTAATGATCAAAATTGCAGATATTTTACAGCACATGATGTAAACAATGTATTAACACATAATCACAATATCTCTGTAATTAACTTGAATGTAAGATCTCTAGACAAACACTTCGATGATGTTAGTGCCTTGATTGAAACTATTGACAACAAATTCTCTTTTATTATACTTACTGAAACGTGGTTGAAAGAGGATACTACTCAACTCTTTAACATGCCTAACTACTCGGCAATTCACAACTGTCGTCAACTTCAGAGAGGTGGTGGCACTGCTCTTTACTACCACCAAGAACTAACATGCTTAAAAGTAATTAGAACTAGAGACTCCTGTGGGGAGTATATCTTCGCCAGTTTCAGAGTCAAGGGTGCCGAGTCTGTCCTGACTGTGGGAGCAGTCTATAGAATTCCTAACACTGATGTGTCCGAATTCAACTCTACCCTTAGAAATCTAATACTCGGTAACAGACTGAACAAAAACCATCTAATTATCGCAGGGGACTTTAATATTGACCTCTGCGAGCCTGAACACCCTACTGCTGTTAGCTTCCTCAACTGTATGAATTCCTGCTTCCTCATACCCTTAATCACTAGACCTACTAGAATCACTGATAGCACTGCCACGACTCTAGATCACATCTGGACCAACATAACCTCTCCGTTTACTTCAGGGATAATCATTGATAGCACTACAGACCATTACCCCACATTTCTCCTAACTAACATTAGCAAACCACCTCTAGAGTCAAGGAAGATAAGTTTTAGGCTGCACAATGAAACTGCTATAGGCAATTTTATAGCTGCTGCTGCTAATGTCAACTGGGAGTCCGAATTAGGTAACATAGGGGACATCAACCTAGCAGTGCAATCTTTTCTTCAAAAAACTCTTAGCCTTTATAACACCCACTGTCCTATGCTAACGAAACAAGTCACAACTAAAAGGCTAAACAATCCCTGGCTTACAAAGGGAATACTTAAATCCATTAATAAAAAACATGACCTTGAGAAGAAGTATAGGTTAGGAATCGTCTCCAAAGAATTTTCAAAGAATTACTCATCATTGCTATCTAAAATAATTAGAAGAGCCAAAACTAAATACTACGAAGATAAATTTACCCAAATAAAGGGCAACATTAAAAAAACATGGAGCACAATTTCACAAATATTGGGATCAAAGAAGATTTTAAATAACAAACCAAAACTCCTGTCCAATAACGATGGTCAGCTTTCAGCCTCAGATTCTGCTATTGAGTTCAATATATAGGTTCTTCTCTTCCATTGGGTCATCCCTTGCAAATGATATTCCATCTTCCAGTACTGACGTTAAGGACTATCTTACAGGTAACTATCCACAGTCTCTCTACCTAAAGCCTATTAATTCCACTGATGTCAATGAGATAATCCTTTCCCTTAAAACCAAGTCTAATGCCCTTGAGGAGATACCAACATTAATTTACAAAAAAGCCTCCAGATCTTTAGCCCCTGCTATTGCATTGCTCTTCAACAAGTCACTTGAACTCCAAACCTTTCCAGATATCCTAAAAAAAACGAGAGTAACGCCTGTACACAAATGTGATGATCTCACAGATGTTAACAACTACAGACCTATATCAATCCTGCCTAACTTGTCAAAAATTGTTGAAAAACTAATCTACAAGCAGCTTTACTCTTATCTAGCCAAACACAATATGCTTAGCTCTTGCCAATATGGCTTCAGACCCAAAAAAGCACTAACGATGCACTTATTAGTATGATTAACTTGATTCATACAGCTCTTGATAAAAATGAGTTCCCTGTTGGGTTATTTGTGGACCTGCGTAAGGCTTTTGACACTGTCCCCCACCAAAACCTTCTTCTTAAATTACATCATTATGGAGTCAGAGGACACTCCCTGCAATACCTCAAATCCTACCTTACTGACAGGCTCCAGTATGTTTCTGTGAATAATTCAATTTCTCCCACCCTACCCATCAACATTGGTGTTCCTCAGGGCAGCATACTTGGCCCTCTCCTCTTTCTCAGCTACATTAATGACCTTCCAAATGCCTCCCAACACCTCAAACCAATTCTATTTGCTGACGACACAACCTTCATTTACTCCAGTCCTGACCCCCTTGCTCTAAATGCCACAGTAAATACTGAGCTAAATAAAGTCCATCTTTGGTTAACTGCCAACAAACTCACCCTTAACATTGACAAAACTTTCTATATTCTGTTTGGCAATAAATCCTCTAATCAAATAAATCTCAAAATAAACAATACCAAAATTTGTAACAAATTAGATGGCAAATTCCTTGGCGTTCTCATCGACCACAAGCTAAATTTCCAGGGACACATTCTAAATATATCAAAAAAAGTTTCAAAAACTGTTGGCATTCTTTCTAAGATCAGATATTGTGTACCACGCCCTACCCTGGTGACTCTCTATTACTCCCTCATCTATCCATATCTCAACTATGGTATTTGTGCTTGGGGTTCTACTACCCAAAATCATTTACGTCCTCTAATTACTCAACACAAAGCTGCTATTAGGACAATATCCAACTCTGGCCCCAGACATCACTCGGTACCCCTACTCAAATCTCTGAATATGTTAGATATTAAGTCACTGCACATTCTCTCATGTGCATTATACATATATAAAACGCTGAACTGTAATGCCAATCCTGATCTCAAAAGCTTCATAGAAGGTTGTAACAGAACCCATGAGCACCACACCAGAAATAAATACAGTTTTGATATTCCTAGAGTACGACTTAATCAAACTAGAAATGCTCTATTATTTATTTATTTATTTATTTATGCATATACAAGAATGTACATAAGGAATGTGAGGATACAAATATGGTAATTACAGTCTTGTTAGGATAACCACATTCCAGAATGTGGAATGACCTTCCCAACTATATTAAAGACTGTACCTCTCTCAACCAGTTTAAGATAAAAACGAAGCTATACCTGATAAATTCCCTGTAACCTACCTTACCCCACTATTGTCAACCAATGTCTGTTTTTTTTTTTTTAAATGGCGCTGTTTGTCGACAGAATTGTATTTGTGCTGCTTTTTCAGCCATGTTGTCCCCTTTTTTATCTCTTTTTTTATTTGTTCTCAACTCATTTTATTCTTTATGCTCAATTAGTATTAAGCTTTAGTCATTTAAGTTTTTCATGCCCGAAACGCTTTGCGTAATAGTGGCTTTAGGCATTGTACGTACTAGCCCTATCCATAAATCCATCACTCTTTGTAAAATCTCTTGTATGTATGTACCTTACCTAAATAAACATTTGATTTGATTTGATTTATATTATATCATTTGTCATATAGTTTTATTCATAGCTGTTAAGCATACTTTATTATGTTACTGCAGAATATTCATCTGTATAAATCTACCTACTTAATAAATAAGTCCCCCATACTAGGCCAGCGTTTTTCTCCCCGATCAGAAAATATAATTCTCGGTTCTAAACATGTTATAGATCTTTCTACTCGTGCTTTCTGTAGCCTTTGTGTGTCATTAACTGTTCTTCTGTGTTCTCTAATTTCCTGAAATATTCCGGCTTTAACAGGAGATATTGGAATGCCCATATTCAACTCAACTTCAGGTTTATCACATGCAGTTTTAATTGCCTTAATTGTCTGTGTCGTCATGCTGGACAACACCTGTGAGACGGTATCCATACAAATGAGACTCTGAAGCTCTTGCTCTTTGCACTAACAATGTTGTTTATAATGGATGTTACAACATTCATAGTGTCTATTTTGCATGTTGGGTTTTTAAGGGCCTGGAGAGCTGACATTGAATCCCAGAAAATTCCTCCTCCAGTGTTCTTCAGTGCGTTAGTGGCAAGTTGTAGTGCAGCTAATTCTGCATGTGTGGAGCTATGATAGTTATTGAGTCTCACACTTGTGGTCTGTGTGTATATGTTGTCTTTGTATTTTCTACAGGCTGCTGCAGTGCGACGTGTTGACATTTGAACAGATACATGAGCTTGCCACACCTGCAGCAACCTGCAGAATATAGTGGCCTCGACGAGGACAGCAAGGCAGCTGCTTGTCAATGGTTTCCTCATTTGTATGTCATCATTTGTTTAATTAGTGAGTTTATTTTAGAGGTAATCTTTCCAGATGGGAATTATTTGAAATAGCATTACAGTCAGGTTGAGAAAACAAAACTAGTTTATAAATGATTTTAAATTGACACACATGATTGTGATTATGCCACTTATTGCTATTATAAAACTTAAAAATAACAAATAGGTTATATTTTCTAGCATACCATTTCCACTGTATGTAATTTAAAAGTGAAAACTTATATGCTAAGGGAAATTACAGATAATTAAATTTAATGTGAAGGGAAAAGAATATTTATATGAAAGTAGTTGCGAGTGGCGAGCGGAGGAGCGGCGAGTGACCGCTGTCTCCTTGTTTACCTTTACGGGAGTAGCGTGGGAGGCGTCGAGGGAGGTGGACGTGTGCTCCTCTTCTCCTGCCTTGAACATTACACTACTCTCACCTTAACACTTGTCCGTCGTGGAGGCTGTTATTGGGTACATGGGTGAAGGGAGAATGGCCGCCACACTACCTTCAGATACACCACTCCAAGAGGCAGACTCCACCAGCAAGAAAACCTCAAGAAGGCAATGGAGTGTTCAAGGTACCGTATATTCATAACATACGTTTGGGAGTAAAGTTGTCATCGTCCTTGTTCAAAACTATTTTCACAAATGACCTGAAACTGCAGCGCGTGACAGGTGTTGGGCTGCCTGGAGGAGTGTTGGTCTGGTTCATGTTTGGGAGACCACTGCTAGGGCGTCTTGTTCTGTTGTCTCCACCCCTGAGGTTATAGTTGTTGGCTGACGGGGGACAGGAAGCCTGCACTTCCACTCATTGAGGGTCCTCCAGAGTTCACCCCTGAGGTTATAGTTGTTGGCTGACGGGGGACAGGAAGCCTGCACTTGCACTCATTGAGGGTCCTCCAGAGTCTAGACCTACTACTGAGCATCCTCTGGATACCTCCCACAACAGTTCCCTAACTCCTGGGAACCTATTTATTGCTAGATGATAATAATTATATAAAAAATATACAAACAAATATTATCCAGTGGTTTAATTTTTAGAGTGCTGTACTGTATATATTTAAAAAGATCACTAATACACAAAACATTTTGGGTGTAACTTAAAATAATTCGCTAAGATAGTATGAAAGTTTGATGAGATACACTTAAATTAATACTAAAGGAGTAAGCAAAAATAAACATTCAAGAAATTTAGCAAATGATACAGTATACAGGTTCTAAGGAAAGCATGATGTAAACAAGAATAAGAGAAAGTGAACGTATTATGTGGCAACATTAAATGAGACATTCTAACATTTATTAATTGTTGAAAAATCTGGAAATAGACAATTACACAGAAGGTATTTATAAAGTCATTGTCTTAATACATAATTACTAATTTTAAAATTGTAGACGAGATTTAGAAAAATATATAATCTTTTAGGATAAAAACGGTATTTAGCAACAGTACATGTGTAGTAATTAACATTTAATGTACACAATAAGAGCAAAACACAGGTTGACATGTAAGGTGAAAAGAGGAGAAAAATTGCTTACATGAAGTAAATAACGTAGTTTCTCCCTTAACACTTTCACGCGCGCGAAGCGTGCGCTCCGCAGGTATGCTCGAAATGTTCCTGGCAGTGCGGGCGAGCTTGCGGTGGCACTGAAATGTGCATTCTCGTTTCAGTTTCCTCACCTTAATTCTCGTAGTACGTCGTTCGTTTTGGTATCATTGTGTTCGCAATAGAATTCCCTACAGGTGTATATGCATATAAGGTCCAAAAGCCTGGTGTAACTCCCCACAGCAGCCTAAAGTCAGCCAACCGTTACCCGTGAACGAGCACCAATTGCCATGCTGCAGCCTAATGTATATACTCGTTCAGTTTGATAACCTCAATTTTCGTGTTACGTCTTTCATTTTGGTATCAAATTGTTTGCTATATAAAGGTGTGTATTTTAAAACTAGTCCCATAATAATAGAGCAATAAATGGAATTTTAACAAATAATTTACATTTTGGACGCTTGTATACACAATTATTTATATCTTTCAATTTTTTTGACGTAAATTTTCATGATACATCTTTCATTTTGGTATCAAATTGTTTGCAATCTAAAGGCATGCATTTTAAAACTAGTCCCATAATAATAGCACAATAAATGGAATTTTAAAAAATATTTTAAAATTTGGACCACAAAAGTATTTATAATTCTTTCAAGTGTTTTGACCTCAATTGTCAGGCTATATCGTCAATATTGTATCAAATTGTGCGCATTCTAAAGGCACTCATTTTAAAACCACTCCCAGATTGATCGAGTAAAGTTTAAATTTTTAACAAATATTTGAAAATGATTGACGCATCGACGAGTCAAATGCTCACTATAGGGAGAAAAATTGTTGACTATTATAGTCTAAAGAGTGCGAGAGTGTTAAACTGGGCAGAAGTACAATTTTTAATTTCATTAGGGAGGTGTATCCGCAGGCCGTTTAAATCTTGCGTAGTACTCAAACACGTCATCTGACGTGTTGTGCAAGTTACTCAACATGTCACATGACGTGTTGCACAGTTTATGGGTTAACAGGTCGGGTCGTTGAGGTACCTCGCTGGTTGCCCTTCCTGTTCCGTACTGTGTTTGGTCTTTCTAATGCATGCGTATCGCCATTTATATAGTGATCAGGTGGCTTCTTCAATGGTGTCTTACCCGAGGTCTATTTCCCAGCAACAATATGAAGTTTCTTGGCAGTCTTTCTCTTTCTCTTCAAAGTTTTTTGTCAATGTCAGACCTGGTTTTGTCTCTTGGCTTTTTCTGGATCGCCATCTCATGCCTAATACTGTTGCTTATTGCACGGTGTTGGCAGACCTGCTCTAGCTTGCGATCGGGGTGGATGTTGCTTCTGCTCCATTTTACAAGCTTTCTCGCGCATTTTTTCACCTTTGGCCTGCTCATGGGCCGCCCAAACCTTCTTGGTCTTAAGACCATATTCTTTCTTCTCTTCACTTTCTTGTGACCCCTTCGGTAAGAGATTGCTTTTGGAAGGCTTTGTTTTTGTTGGCCTTGGTCTCTGGGGGTCGGGTTGGGAGCTTCATGCTCTCCTCTGACGCCAGGGGTTCTGTTCGTTTGGTCCAGGTGGTCGTTTGCAGCCCCCTCTTTTTCTGGCGAAGAATAAGATGGCTGGCTTCCAGAAGGTTCCATGCTTGTGGACACTTGATTGGTTAGGCCGGGGGTGCATCACGTTGTGTCCGGTGGTTGCTTTACGCAGCTACCAGCGAGCCACTGGTTCTGTGACAGTGGCCACTCTGGGTGGATCTGGGTTCCCTGTTCCCAAATACTTGTGTGTCTCAGGTTGTCCAGTGTCATAAAGTCTAGCCTTCCTACGGTCTACCCTCGTGCCCATGACGTTTGGCAGTATGCTGCTCTAGTAGTGGTTTTTGGCAGCATGTCTTTGTTACGACCCTTGACCTCTGGGTTTGGTTCTTCTGCTTTGGCAGTAATCAAAATATATAAATATGCGGCCTTGCCTACTACAAATGTCTAGGGGTAAATAATTCAACTGCTTAATCAGCAAAGCAATATACTTTAAGGGTAACAAAGAAACCTACAAACATATAAATGAAATACAGGGAGCCAGAAATATTATTGCACCAGAATAAAATAACACTGTATTATTATATATAAGCACTGATCACTATTTTAAAACTTAAATGAATAGATGGGTATGCAAATAATGGACTAACCAGACAATTAGCTGTTACTAAACAAATAAACAGGTACCAAAGACTTCTCATAACATGTCCACCCCAGCCAGCTTCACCCACACGACTAGCTTGGCTAAAGCATGCACATCATGGTGTCTACAGGTTACCAACTAAAAACCACATGAAATCTCTAGATACTGTACTGTGCTATCTGAGAGTAATACTTAAAAATAAAATTATAACTATACTAATATGCATATAACACTGCTAAGGTGTAATTAAGAAATCTAGTACATAAAAGAAACTGGAATAATTACAGGGGTGAATCAGTGACGCTAGGTTGATACACTGCACACATTATTGGAACATCCCAAATATGGTCATCCCCCCAAGAGATGCCATGGTCTCCCCTCACATGAATAAACATGCAATAGCATCAGCAAAATATTACATACAGGCACACTATAGCATGCTACATTTAACTCAACCGTATATACTGGAAAACAAATGGATATAATGGTTAATTTCAAATAACTAAGGAAAGAATCATGAACATACAGTACATGTTCATCATGATAAATGTTAGAATCAAATATATGGATTCATAAGTCTTGGATAGACATTTGGGAGTGGGGGTTTTGGAGGTCGAACAGGGTCTTGGCCACTAGGTATCTAGTGAATGTTCCGGTACCTTCCCGGCCGTGTGTGGTTTTGGGGTGCCTGGCACGGCCATCTCTCTCTCCTCCATCTTGAGACCTGCGGTGCTGCCACCTCCCGGGAAAGTCCCTCCTTTCACATAATTTATTTATTTTATTAATAATAGTTATAAACTATTTATATATACAAGAGTTCTTACATGCTTGTACTACCACTAGCCGTGTAGCATTTTGGGCAGGTCCTTAACCACTGCACTGCGCAACGTGCCTTGAGGCTCTCGACAAGTGATGCGCAACACGCCTCAGGAATCTTACAGGTATAGCGTATGATTCAAAACTGCCGCAGCTACATGGGGGGTTCACATCAGCTTCCTCGGGGCTTTCCTAAACAGATGCCATTTAAAAAAAAGTTGTGGGCAGCATTCCCGGGTGTGAGAGCCTCAGTACTGAGTGAACAACCAAGGCTGGTGCATGCAGCATTAGCTCACAGCACTGCTGTTCAGTTTGTGACCACAGCATCGCCTAATAATGTCAAAATACTGTATATATGTAACTAGTATTATTTAGCCATGATAGTATTACAGAAGAGCCTGAGTGTCATAATGACTGTGTACAATGTTCAAATATCGGTGAATCAATGCTGTTCACGATGTTCACAGCGCTAGCCACAACGCCAGAGCATTATTTCGTCCATCTAGGAATCTTCAAACGATTTCTTATGTTCCTTTACAAAATAAATTTGTGGTCAATTACTCATTTACAGGATTTAGTGACCAGGATTGTGATAATAACAGGATTTTGGTGATAATTAGCGTTGTGCGTAGTATTGGGAGAGAAGGAATTTTGTTGAGGGAGGAAATCAAGGTAGCATCACTGTGTGGCAGCCACTCTTGTTTGGGCTCACTATACTAGCTTAGTGGTTCGCTTTGATGAACACAAATGTAGATATTTATATATAACGTGTGTATATAGTGTAATAACAGCAACAGGAGTATGTTGGGAGGAGCCATTTTCGTGAGGGAGATGGTGTCGTGCTTGTAGTGTCGTCTGTTGTGTGACTTGTCATGCAGTGTATGGTGGCCACGATGCTGTTTGGACACAATACCAGCTTAGTTGTATAGCTATGGTGAATAAAACGTGTAGATGCTTATACATAATGTGTGTAAATAGTGTAATAAAAACAATAACATTATGGTGGGAGGAGGAATGTTGGCGAGTAAAGTGTTGGAGGTGTGAGGGAGGGA